GAAAAGCACTGTATTATTTAAAGCAGGCCAAAGACAGTGAATTAGGAGGTACAGTATAATGCAATCTAAATAACATTTTTTTATTATTGTTGAAGTCATTAACATGCAAATAGGCAAATTGCAAATTCACTCCAATTTACAAAGTTTCCTTTTCAAAATATCATATTATTAAGTAATTTTAATAACTTAAATTAGTCTTTATCTAATTACTGGAAAAAAAAACATAGAAACAGTATTATTAATTTCTCCAACAAATTATATTCTTTTTAACATTTGTGACCAACACAACTTTTCTCAAATCCCTTGAAACAATAAAGACAGAAAGCCCTCACAAAACCAAACTGGGAACTAGTGTTGTAGAACGGCTGCCTTTAAAAAAACAAGTGTAATCTTAACACACTAGAAGGTAGCTCAGGAGTGATTAATGTATTTCCTTTTGCTTTTCCTATCTCAATTTTGCATACTTCATATGTTTTCAAAGTCAAGTGGGCTAACATTATTTATTGCATAGATATAACATGGATATATGAACATTTTAAAGTAATTTAAAATGTTAACAAAAGACGTAATGTAAAACATGTTATAATTTATTAACCCCACAGTGTGCTTACTGTAAAGTTTTAAATCTCTATGCCATGATAAGTCATTACTATACATGAACACACAGGAGACATATCCATTTAAAAGCAATCTTTATAAATGAAAACAAAGAGCCCAGGAATTGTCTAAAATGTATAGCCGAGCTTAATAAAATGTACATATATAACATTCAACTGCCATTGATTTGACTGATTTGATTTGATTGACTGCCAGTGTCTGGCATCTTGTGTAAGAAAGATATTTAAAAAATTGTATTTACCAAGAGCAGCTGTTCCTCAGCTGTTGATGGACATTAACTTCCTATATAAATATTATTTTTTCAAATGAACCCGGTGATCTTAATAAACAGTTCATATTTAGTTGCTACCCTTGAATTCTGTACACAGGTTACCAGTTGCACATGTACGAGAACACTCAGGAATGTTAATCTTGTCAGGATGGATTTGAGCAAACTGGGAAGAGAGAGGAACACCAAGTACAAAGCCGTCAGTAGCTCTATCTGCCCCAACACAGCCCATGAACCCACACTTCCCTCAACAAGCATGTCCTCAGACCAGTGTTTTATGTTCATATTTGGGAAAGGAGAGCTCAAAGTCAACCAGATAATAAACACAGTAACAGGCAGAACCCTAAATTGTTGCTGTGTGGGACAAAACAATTTTATGACAGTATGAGCTGCCCTGCAGGCAATTAACACATGTACAGTTCTTTCCAGAGCACAAAAGAGGCACACCATGAGAGAGATCCGGACAGCTAACCTGTCAGAAGGCTGACTGGTGTTACCTGATACTGGTACAAAACAGTGAAATGTCACAGTAAAAAGCATCATCATGGTTGAGTTACTGCCATGAGCAGGACTGACTCTGTTTGGTATTATTTGTATTCTCGCCAGGTAGATTCCAAGTAGCACCACAGCAGCCAGAGCATATCTTGCAACCCATCTGTTGGTGTCTGAAGGCCACACATTCGCCATCCTGCCTGAGTAAACAGTACATTTCATGTAGTTATTCATTTTTAAGGAAATAAAAGCAGGAAACAAATTACATTTTTGTTTTTTACTATTACCTGCTTGTGGCAGAAGTGCTTGGTATTGTGCAGAAAGCATCTGTTGACAAGATGACAGTAAGTTACTGCACACATTACAAATACAGTTGGGCAGTATTACAATGCATACTATACTGTGAGGAGATTCATTTGGTATTAGTGTCGTCGTTATTTTGGATATATAAAATTGAGTATATCAATCATATACATTTCAAATAATTGATGTGTATATTTATTTCTGGACAATCTCTCTATAGAATTAGCAAAATATTTTCATCACATTATATTCTATATCACAATACATACATACTACACTAGAATATGAGTATCAAGAATGCCCACACTTAAAATACTATTCTTCTATACATGTCAGTCTTATTTGATATTCCTCTCCAAACTTCATCTCTGACAGAAAGGTTAAATCTGCACCTGCACAAAGTAGATCCTGACATACGGCCTCCTCAACTTTTCTGAGGACATCAGGCTCACTTGGCTTTCACACAGAATGAAGATAGGAAATTCTTGATATGCAGGTCCGATTTCTCTGTTCAAAAAAACTTGCCGGATTTTGACATCAATGTTGCATGCCTTACAGATGCAAATATAATCCAATGTGTGTTCCGCTTTAACAAAGGTAATGATGTGGTAGCAGTGAGCCACATAACTCAGGAGAACAGATGAGGGACACAAACTGCTGTTATTTGAATGTGTGCTCTGATTACCAGTCTTTATCTGTATAAAGAAAATTTGCAAAAAAAAACAACAACACGATAATGAAAACAGTTATTGATAAATTGGTGTAGTAGAAATACACTCTCTGTAACTCTGGTGCTCACCTTCTCTTTAAGTAGCAGGCAATTGCTCTTAGACAGGGAATACACCAACAACTGTTGCAATTTACATTTGCAGACATGCCTGTTTTGCTTCACAGGTTCCTTTACTTTTTGCAACAGGTTTACACAGCCATTTAAGACAATGCTGTTCAAAGCACCAGGAATAAGGGCACTCTTTTTGAACCTGTCCTCTGTTAAAATCCTCTCAGAGGCAACACTCTTTTCAGTAGATCTAAAAAATAAAGAAAACATCAGTATGTGATACAACTATGTAGCAAATGTTACCCTTATCTACAGTCAAACATTGCATTAATCACTGAACTGTTCAACATGTGTAGCCAAGCATAAGCTCAACCGCCATTTGAACAAACAAAAGCAATTTAAAACAACATATTTAACATTGTATTATTTCATTAGAGTGACTTCAAATTGTAATTGATTCGTCAAAACTCCTCTAGAGATTGTCTCATTATCTATTGAGGGTTCTCTCAATATGGTGTTTAGGCCCCTGTAATTGTAATAAATGGAAACCACACTGGGGTATACACATCATTGACAAAACAAAAAGCTAGTTAATGAGCAAGATACAAGTGAAGGGAATAACAGAAAACACTGCAATTTGGCAAAAATGTACTCACCTCTCCCAAGTAAGTATCAGTTTTGTTTTATCATGAACGACAGCCGTTTTGTATGATGCATTCGAGCTGCAGCCCTTTTTCTCTTCATCACGACCATACTGACTGCGCTCGGCAAACGGATGTAGTCTGAGCCATGTGCCAGATGACACTATCCAAGTGAACAGTGTTAAGTAGACAAATGTGACTGTTGTCATCTCAGAGCCTCGCCTTTGGCACAGCAAAGATTGTTGCTTCATGTGTTTTATAGCTTCTTGTCTGCTTCTCAGGTGTAGGTGGCAACTTAGTGGTCAATTATCAGCGGTACAAGCAAATCCTACGACATAAAGGATGTCAGGCATGAAGATTACATCTGACAGGACTACACAAGGGGCCTTTGTCCTCTAATAACAATCAATCAGAGTGTTTACTGAGACAGACTTAAACCTCTGACACAGTGTTCCTTAACTGCCTTTATGACGCTTTATCAAGCTTAACTTTGAAGTTAGAATGAAGGTACTGATATAATTCTAAACAAAGAAATAATTAATCCATTGATATGACATGTAATGATCAATATTATTATTATTATTATTATTATTACTTGTTACTTGTTAGACGCTTTTATCTAAAGCGACTTACATACTCAATACTGTGGACAATCCCCACAGGAGCAATTTGGGGTGAAGTGTCTTGCCCAGGGACACAACGACATGACTGCAGTGGGGTTTGAACCAGTGACCCCCTGATCCAAACACCAACGCACAACCCACTGCGCCACACGCCTCCGTTTAAACAAATACATTTCCAAAGTAAAGCAACATTTTGGTGCAGAGTGTCTGAATTGGCAATATATTCACAGGGGACCCGCAACCTTTAACCTCAAGCTATCCTAATTAAAATGGGTTCTATGGATACAAACAACTTTCCCCTTAGCAGCCATGGCAACGTTATGCTAATCGAATGCAGTTTTGGACAAAGGCCTGCAGTGATTGGTGTAGATTCATGTGTTATTTTGCTCAATTAGCTTAATTCTCCTATGTTAATTGTCCATAAAGGGGGTTTTTGAGCAGTTTCCTCAACAGAAGCGCTAAAAAACTATTTAGCGAAATGTATTTTATTCTTGAAGAAACCGACAAATGTCTTAGTATTGCAGTTTTTTTTTAACATTTTTATTAATTCTGGTCAAAAATGTTTAAATTTGCCACCAAAACAGTGTAACAAATGGTATGGATCCAAATGTTCCAAGGACTTATACAGAAATGCTTGGAAATTCGAATAGGCGCCTAACAGAAATACAATGTTTATTATAGATTTATCCCCAAAAAATCTTGACAGCACTAAATAGCTAATGCATGTGATGGTTAAATGACTGCAAACACTGAGTAAATTCAAATAAATCATGTATTTACTTATCATATGAGCCATGTAGGATGTTTCATAGTGGTTACACTTAGGAAAGATTTGTATTCTTGTCTGTCACAACCACATGCACAAGGCTCTGCACTCGTGTCTGAATCATGTTTTATTTACTTGATTTTGTGAAGTAAAATACATAAAAATTGTAATTGTCTATTAAGGTATGTTCATATCCCTTAATCACACTTCAACAATGAATCACTAAACTTTCTGGGCTATGGATGGCAGCAGAAATTTGACGATTTAAGGTATTTAAAAGATACAGATTTCATGGCTGTTTGGAGTAAAATTCAACAATTTTTCAAATAATGTATTTGTATTTGCTTAACAAACATGTTCTAATACAAATAAACATGTACACGTGCAATGGTGTTATTAAGTTGGGAGACTCAAAAAAGAAAGTGATTGGTTGGGAAATAAATATTTAATTGAGTCATTAATTAACAATCCAAAACATGGTTTAAATGGAAGTCGTCACAACATTGTACAATTAATGGTGGATATCTTTTGTTTTCCCAATTACATGCTTTTTGGTATTTTGTTCTGGCCTGAGTAAAATAACAACACATTTAGGGATAAAAATACAGAATAGTAGCCCATAACTGGAGGCCAGAATAGCAAATATCTCCACAGCCACAGTGAACTTCCCAGGAGAGCTGGCATATGCTGGGATAAAGGTGATCCAGACGGCACAGAATATCAACATGCTGAATGTGATAAATTTAGCTTCATTAAAATTATCAGGCAGCTTTCTAGCCAAAAAAGCAAGAACAAAACACAACACAGCTAAGAGCCCTATGTATCCTAACACAGCCCAGAACCCTACAGGTGACCCCAGGGCACACTCAAGAATAATCTTATCCTTATATTGGTTCATATTCTTAAAGGGGACTGGAGGGCTTATTGTCAGCCAAAGTATGCAAATGATAATCTGTATTAGAGTGAAACCAGAACACTGAGTCTCTGCTGGGCAGGCCCAAACCACTTCATCATATTACTGCCTGGAAGTGTAGCCCTGAATGCCATTAGCACCACTATAGTTTTCCCCAGAACACAAGAGATACAGAGGACAAAGGTGATGCCGAATGCTGTGTGTCGCAGCATGCAGGACCACTGAGAGGGCCGGCCGATGAAGGTCAGAGAACACAGGAAACACAGAGTCAAGGAGAAGAGCAGCAGGAAGCTCAGCTCAGAGTTGTTAGCCCTTACAATGGGAGTTTCCCGGAAGTGAAAAAAAACTGATGCTATAAGAGTTGTCAAAATCGCCCCCATCAAACAAAATAATGTTAAAATGATCCCCATGATCTCTTCAAAAGACAGAAATTCTATTTCCTTCAGGATGCATGTGTCCCCTCTGGTATTTGGCCAATAATCAATGGGACATTTGAAGCACTCCATAGAGTCTGTTTTTGAAAGAGACAAACAATTAGGTCATAATCTGATCATGGAAAGGGAAAAGCACAAATCCTGATACAGTATTTTTGTAGATCAAACCTGTGATGTTGCTGATTTCTCCATCTGCACACGGTATACAGTCATAACAGCAAACAGGTTTTCCTTTCTGAAAGACTTTGCGTTTCCCCGGGTTACAGCTCTCACTGCACACTGACACAGGCACCTGGCACATGAATATGTGGAGGAATTGTATGTGACCTACAGTGACACTTTTTAATTTTATTGTTGTTTACATGTAATTTGAATTTGGAAACATTATAATATGTATCAATCTAGTTATGCTTAGCTTCATTTATGTGGAACATTAAATATTATGCAGTATTGCATTATGACTAACAATCCAGAAATATGAGTATAAAATAATATGAATTTGTACCGTGTGACTTCCTCCTTCCCACACTATCTTCATGACATTCATTATAAATTGACGATCATGGGGCAGAGAGGCATCAAAAACCCCAACTGTGTCAAAATGTATGGTCCCTGAGGTCACATGTTGTAAATTAATGAGCTCATATTTTGCAGGCGAATCTCCATTCTGGTCAAAGGTCACTCTTTCCCCCTGACTTGTTGTAAAGTTTACATTCTGTAAGTAATGTAGCACCTGCAAGGAAAACGGGGGGCTTTGGGTTATTTCAAATTCCATCTTAGTTTTTTGGGATACAAATAAATAATTTCAAAAGAGCAATTCAAGTTTTCTTTCCTCACTTGCCATGGTTGAATGTGTTTAGTATCAGCACAGCTCCCGTTGTAGAAGGGGCCCCTCCCCTCTTCACATGTGACAAGGTTGTGTATAGCATGAGCCACTGCGTAAACTGACTTGTATACATTATAAGTGAATCTAAGCTCTGAAACATCTGTAAAATATGATTCAACATTCTGCAAGCTCTCAAAGCCACTGCATGGATTTTTTTGTGTGTTTGAAGAGTCATTCAGGGCACAGTTGAACACATCTTCCCAGAGATCTCTTACAAAATGACTGTCAGGAAACTGTGAGGGATGGATCTGCCTCAGGTGTTCCTCCAGCCCGGGGATTTGAGCTTTGCTCACAACAAAGCCCAGTGAGCCCACAAGGATGCTGCGACCCTCGCTGTCAGTCAGAGAGTGATCTGTGATCCAGGCGTCACTGCCAACCAGCTGCAGTCCTTTAATGTTCTGTCTGTACAACTCAGTCGCCAGCACGTTAACTTCTCTGTGGGACATAAATGCCACAATAACCTTAGAGGTGGAGTGCTTCACAGTTTCAACTACTTTGTTTAAGTCATGAAGAGGACCTGTTTGATCAAATGCCTCGTAATACTCAATGCACACCCCCTCTTCTTGTGCAGCTTGTATAAAAGAGGCCATACCGTTGACACCATAGTCATTTTTGTTACTAATTGCCCCCACCCAGGTCCAGCCGAAGTGCTTGACCAGCTTTGCCAGGGCTCTGCTCTGGTGGAGGTCACTGGGAATAGTACGGAAAAAGGATGGAAACTCCTCTCTGTTGCTGAGACATGCACAGGTTGCAAAATGACTGATCTGTGCGAAGGAAAGTTAGACGGAACAGAATAATGTTGATTACAAATTCATCATATGAATATTAAGGATCTATATTATAAGACAAGTTAATCGAGAAGCCCTCTAAAATACAGAATTAAATATATTTCCAAAACAACCTCTTAGTCGAATCACATTGATTCAGAAACATCCTCTTATTCTGTGTGTTTTAGAATTATTTATATGCAGACAATAAAAGTAAAATATTTACCACTGGTATCTGGAACCTTCCCATAATTCGAGCAAATCCCACTGTAGGTGCAGAGGCAGAGTGGCCTAGTATAGCCAGAGCAGTGTCAGCCTTTGTACAGTTCCTCTCATCTATGATCTCCCTCTGCCCGTTGGCTAAATCTAGCGCAGACTTAATCATATTTGTCATTCCACAGGAATTGTATATCTTGTAGCCCAGGTTGGGAAGAAAAGCAGGATTTTGGTTTATTTCCTCAATTGCAAAGATCATAGTCTGGGCAAATTTGAATTCTCTTACATTGATGCTAGAAAAACAAGACATTTATTTAAATTATTTTATTTGGACAAAAATGTATTGAACAAGAAAGCGCGTAAAATAAAAAAGACATACTCACTTCAGGCATTTTGGAGGATCAGGTAAGGTTTGAAAGCTGGGTATGCTGCCTCTGTATCCAGTTTGAAAGGTGAAGATGCCACCTAAGACAAAGTCTCCAGCCTTGGACAGCTCAGGGGGTTGTGCCCTCCCCTGCAGCCGGCACACAGGCATCACCCTCCTGGTAAGAAGAACCAGGAATAACAGGTTCAGTAGAGGCATTGCTTCGCTCTGCAGACTGGCCTCAATGCCTTTATGAGACTTTTTATATTCAAACCTAAACCTTTTCAATGTGTCAATGCTCTTATTCTAGACAGCTTTAGGGTATGAAGCACATGACACAGAGTAGAGGGCCCCAGGGATTGAAGTCAAGGTTTTGGCGTGTAAAGCAAATCAAAGATAATACAACATGCAAAATTAAGTATCCATATCTTCTATCCAAGTTTTTCTTTCTATATCACAAGTCATAGTTCCTGACACATTTATTTGTTTGTCTGTTTCTTACCCCTTTATCCTTATTTTGGCAGAAAGGCAAGTCATGACTCAAAATAAAACTGTAACATGTACAGGCATAACATCTTCACAATTTTCACATGTAATGCGAACGATAAAGAAATACTGCATCTGATTCCCATGATGAAAGAAATAAACATGGGGCAATAATTCACTTTTACCAGGTCCATACAGCCATTAGTTATACAAGTAAACTACTAAAGTGTCAGGATTGGCAGGAATACACAAAATATGACCAAATTGGAGAAGCTCTGAGAGTCGTTTGGCGTTGGCCTATAATTTGCATTAACCACGTTTGTGTCTGCTGTACTTCTAACCTGGGGCTGTACGGTGAATTTCCATTTTGATCCATCCACTTGACTAAATCCAAAGTGTCAGAAACAAGAAAACGGTCTGCAAACATGTCCTATCTTCTCGCCGCCAGGACTCACCATGCTGGGTGGACAGATCATACCATTTGAATTGGTTTTGTGTATGTTGGCAGTGGTTGTGCGATCTAACTAACTTGTATTACTTCAGAAATATATGAACTGGTTAGTTGATCATATTTTCACTTTAACACAAAAACAACTTGTTCCCAATTACTACAGGAACATTGTAGGGTGTAATTGTGAGGGAGACATCATATTGAATGGCCCTTTCACTTATTATTTACATTTGTTTCAATTTCAGGAAAACTCAAAATAAAACTTTCAAATGAAAAGGGATGAAATAGCAAGCCAATTAGTATTACGTTATGTAAAATGCCATAATGCTCCTAATGTGGTTTCAAACAGGCCTGGTGTTAGAATAAACAGGAACTATTGTTTTCTTTAAAAAAAAAAAAACCTTAATTGATTTAACATGTCACATTTACATGTTGTGACACAATTGTCAATCCTTTTAGACCCTATTTTTCAGCTTGAAGCGATATGCCACCTGTTGTTCCTGTTGTTGTGTAAAAGGATGAAGCAATCTGCAATGTTTACCCTCCAGTGTCCATGTCCATGCAGGAGTTTCCCCACTGGAGTCAAGCCGCTGGGTGATAAAGTATTGCTTTAAACAGATGGGGACTCATTTATCTTTCATTGTTGTTCTTCTGTGTTGTTTTTAATTAAGTACAAGTGTTACCTTTATTTCTGGTGTATTGCATCATTGTATTTTTGAACTTGAGAGCTTCACGTTTGAAGGGGACACTAATTAATGTAATATCCCTTCATCTCTCCTGCATCCACTGCTGTTGCATTGACTTGTTATTTATTTGATTTAAATATTTGTTAATGAAAACTTTAACCTTCTTGAATGAAATCAGAGAATACATTTAGTTATGGATGTTATGCGTGAACAGGTGCAACTTGAATTTACTGTGAGATCAGAGGATATCAAACAATGGCCACCAAACACAGGAATATGAACATTGAATTTAATAAATAAATACAATTTAGTTTGTGTAGTGGTGAGCCGTATTATTTCAAATTGAGTCATGCAATATTTAAAATATTTAATCCTTACAATTTAATTTGTTATCTTTTGATTGAGGATTTTACGCATCAAGTTCATAATATTTGTCAGGAGGTAATGGACATTAAACCATAATCTCTCGCCGGGCGCATTATATTTCAATGATTAATGGCATTATTTTTATACCTATCACAAACATATTAAAAGTCAAGCTTTGTTATCATGAATACACTATTACTAAATAAAAACATTTGTATAAATCTGTAATTGTTATTATTGAATGAATGTGTAAAAACAACACGCTTGTACAAAATCGTATTTGATTAAATATTTATTAATAGAAACAAATAGTACATTGCATTAGGAAAACACTATGATACAAAAAGAAGAAGCACATTTTTCCTTTTAGTTGGTTGAGATAAAAACAACATTACAACTGATTTGGGCAATGGTTAATAACGTACATCATTACTAGCTGTCCTTGCCATTAGGTGTTTTTTAGTGTTCTGCTCAGGCCTCACTTTGGAAGTGGCATGCTTAATGATCTCTATTATATTCTGTAGGCTATAAGGTGGACCCGACGATGAAAATGCTTCAGAATACTCAATGCACACTCCATATTCTTGTGCAGCTTTGATAAATAAAGCCATGCCATTCAGGCCATATCTATTATCAACAGCAAGAGCACCAATCCAGGTCCATCCAAAGTGATGGACCAGCTTTGCCAGTGCTCTGCTCTGGTAGTAGTCACTTGGAATTGTTCAGAAAAACATGGGATCTCTTTTCTGTTGCTCAAACAGGCACAGGTTGCATAATGGCTGATCTGCAATAAAATAGACAAACATCTTAATGTCAATGACAGAGCAAACAATCAGCAATGTTACATAAAGTTCAGATTCCTACTACACTAACAATTTTCAATACATCATAAAAAGATGGATATGTGTCTTACGAGAAGACCCTAATCCGGGTCTGGCAGGTCGTTTTTTCACAAAACTGTGTCTCAGGGTTTCTTAATATTTAAAAACCTATTAATGTGTCATACCAGATTAACGGGAAGAAACTCAGCTAACTGACGATGCGAACCATTTTTACCAAAACAAAACACAAGCGTCTAAATGACCCCTGAGCGAAAAAATGCTAACGCATTTGGCACAGAACTCAAGGTAAAGATACCCTTATTACTTATCGTAACTGCACATACAAGATATCGGATTAAAGCTGAGATTCCACAGATTATATAGGTATTAGTATCATCACTGAGTGATCAGAACTCGCGACAGGGGAAGCAAACACAGACATCACAACACGTAGCATTACGGAGCAAACACGGGAGATCGTCTCACATTAGCTGTTATTCTGATCAAAAGTCGTGTTCAATGGCAATAAAATGATAAAAACGCTGCTGAGGGTTAATCCAAAGGTTAATCCAATGTGTCTGTCACTTTGAACAAATTATTGATAATCCATAATTCAATTTTTATGTAAAAATCTGAGAAATAATATTAGCTGCTGGTAGCCACCAGAGTGTATCGCAGCTTCCGGTTTTGGCTATGCGTCACTCTCACTCCTTATTTGGTAACATGTGTGTGTATGTGGAACCTCCCCTCGATTCCATTGGCTCTAGTGGTTAAAAAGAGATGTCAATCATCAAAACCGACCAAGGGGGGCCAGAGATAGGTCAAATCCACCCAAATGACCCCAGAAGTGGGTTTTCTTTAGATAAATCTCTCTAAAAAGGTCATATTTCACTTGTTTTGCATCAATCTTGATACAGGGTACTTATTATATGTTATAGTTTGGATTCCTAAAGCTTTTAGTCTACCATCCCATCATTCAAGGGTGGTTTTCACTATAAGTACATTTCTTTTTTTGGACGGACACTATAATTTAAATTGTTTTACTGTGTTCAATCTGAATTTACTTTAAAATAAAAACATCTATATTGATTCTGACACTTCTACATCCAACTCACAGATGTAACCTTGCTTTGAGAAAAACGTTTATTAATTTACCCCTTTTATAAGTGCCTGAGACCTGAAAAACAGGCTCAGGGCTTAACAGGTTAAAGGTACACTTAATAGAATGTTAAAAAACACTTCAGAACAACTTTAATTGCCTTTATTTTACATACCACAGGTATGTGAAACCTTCCAACAACTTTTGCAAATGCAATAGTTGGTCCTGATCCTGAATGTCCCAAGTTAGCTTTCACCGTTTCAGCTCTGGTGCAGTTGTCGTCACTGACTTCTTTCTTAAATCCACTCACCAGTGCCAGTGCAGCTCTCAGTATGTCCATAGTTCCACAGTTATTATAGATACTGTAGCCAAGTTTAACATTACGGAGAATGTCAGGATTTGTGTTGATCTCATTGATAGCAAAAATCAATGCTTGAGCAAATTTGAATTATCTCAAATTGAAGCTAGGGTGTTGTGAAAGATAGAACAAAATAATACATTTGTGTTAAAGGTAGGGTAGGTAAGTTTGAGAAACCGGCTCGAGATCGCTAGAATTTGAAATAACACAACTGGAGAAAATCTGCCAATTCCTTACAGAGCCCTCCTCCAACACACGAACGCGCACATGACCAATGAGGGCACGAGATAAGTTTGTGCACAGATGGAAGGCTGACAGGCAGGTAGGCCATCCAGTTATTTTAGCCGGGCCGGCTAAAATGATTGGTCGTACTTTTTACAGTATTACGGCTTCCACAGATGACATTTTTTTATGGATTTTTTGTCAAAGCACTTAAGATATTCATTGCTATCGGGATGTTAAGAGCATTCCATGGAATATAACAAAAAGTGTATCTCGAGCCGGTTTCTCAAACTTACCTACCCTACCTTTAAGTCTCAAATACAGTACAATGAACATATATAAGCCGTTGAAAATATGCCTAACAATACATACTTTTTACATTTCCGTACTCCTGGAATTGTCTGAAATGTGTTAATTACGTAATCCTGCCTTGTGCGACAGGAAAAATGCCTCCAATAACAAGGTCAACAGTTCAGGCGGTTGTGCGGAGCCTTGCAGTCGGAACACAGAGTCCCCCTTCCCCATTAGCAGAACCAAAAGGAGCGGCCTCAGTAAGGACATGGCAGTGCTCTTCAGGTCACGCCAATCTGCTTGAGAGCTCATGACAAACCCCTTTATACACCATCAATAACAAGAAGGGAATTGTCCTGCTTGAAAATAAGTCTCA